GGGTAAACAGGATTCCAAGTATTGGAAAGAGAAATACAAGGCTAATACTTTGTAATAATTGTAATAGGATGGGTCATCATAATCGTAGGACTTGTCCTCATCCTTATAATGAAAACTAGATTTCTTATCTTTTTTTTTCTAATAAATTCAGTTGTTTTTGTGACTACAAATTATTTGTTAATTTTTTTTTTCTTGTGTATGGATACATGATTGAAATTAGGTTTAAGAAGTATTTCCTTTTGTTATTGTTCTTTTGTTGTTGATATGATGTTTTCCTGAGGGCAGAAAGTTATCACAGTTTCTAATACTTGGTTTTTTCTGACATGGTGACATGGTAATTATGACCATATCCATATAGGGTTCACCATTTACATATAGGGTTTTAGAATGTTAATAATTAGAACTAATGCATTGTTGAATGGGACTTATGACCATTTCCATCTAGGGTTCAGCATTCCCATCTAGGGTTTTAGAATGTTAATAATTAGAACTAATGCTTTTTGAAGGGGACTTATGACATTTAGGGGTCTTCATAATTTTTTTCTGACATATTGGTAACATTCTGTTTAAAATGTTATCACAGTTTCTAATACCTAGTTTTTTCTGACATCTTGATAAGATTCTGTTCAGAATGATATCACTGTTTCTAATACTTGGTTTTTTTTTAATTCTTGATAACATTCTGTTCAAAATGTTATCACTTTCAATTAATGCATTTTAGAAGGGGTCATATGACCATTTCCATCTAGGGTTCACTATTCCCATCTAGGGTTTTAGAATGCCTAAAATTATAACTATTGCTTATTGATGGGGACTTATGACCTTAAGGGATCTTCATAATGTGTATTTATCGTGGTGATAACATTTTGTTCAGAATGTTGTCACAGTTTCTAATAGTTAGTTTTTTTTTTCCTGACATCTTAACATTCTGTTTAGAATGTTATCATTGTTTTCTAACATGGTGATAACATTCTAATACTTGGTTTTTTCTGACATGATGTTATCACATTCAATTATTATATTTTGGAAGGGGACATATGACAATTTCCATATAGCGTTCACTATTCTCATCTAGGGTTTTAGAATGTTAAAAATTATAACTATTGCTTTTTTAAGAGGACTTATGACCTTTAGGGGACTTCATAATGTGTAATTATGACCATTTCCATATAGGGTTCACCATTTCCATCTAGGGTTTTAGAATGTTAATAATTAGAACTAATACATTATTGAAGGGACTTATGACCTTTAGGGGTCTTCATAATGTTTTCCTGACAAAGTGATAACATTCTGACAAAGTGACCTCCAGTGGTCTTATTATGTTTCCCTGACAAAGTGATAACATTCTGACAAGATGTTATCACAATGAGAATACTTGGTGTTTTCTGTCAAGATGATAACCTTCTGACAAGATGTTATCACAAGGAGAATAAAAGATTTTTTCCTTGAACTATAATTGAAACATACATTTACATGAAAATGCATCGAAAATAAAAAAAAAAATTTACCATTTTTACCGCTTGATTGTATGCAACTTTATTCTCCATTGCTACTTCTTCTTTACCTAGGGAGTTATAATGCTCCCATTTTTTATCTTTCAGTCTGCAAACCAGAAGTGTCCAATGGTAACCTTATTTATCTTCAGGTGTCTTTCCTGAGTTTAATGGAAAGAACATCAAATCTACATCTTCAAAGTCCATGTTGTCAATAGGCAATGTGACACATGTATGTTTTCATTAGGATCTTTCAATATCAAATCCTACAAAAAAAAAAAATATAAATAGTTAGTAATACAGTATGTTTTCTGACCTGGTGATAACATTATGTTATTACTTAGAATTTATGCATTTTGAAGGGGATTTATGAACTTTAGGGGTCTTATTATGTTTCCCTGACATGGTTATTTTAAAATACAATTTAAGGAAGAATCTTAAAAGTGAAAAGAACTTACCATGCAGGTAGCATTGAAGAGAACAATAGCTGACAGGTCTTATGACAAAAAAAGTTCCCTTAGCTTGTCATTATTATTGTATAGATCACACGTGAACCAATTTATGAATTGTGCATCAAGGAATTTGTTCCAAAGAAGATCAATTATATCTTCACCAAATATCATAATTTGTTATTGAAAATAATATTACTGCAAAAAAACATGAAACATCAATAATTTGATTTTAATTAAAATTAGAGTATATAGATATAAAGGGTAGCAACATATCTCATTAGTGCATTATCAAAGAATATCTTCATTGTTTTGCTGCTCTAGAGTGATAAATTTAAAAAGTCGCGACTTTTTCAATGGAGGTACCTTTACATCAATAGTTTTAGCTCCAACTCTTCCTTTTTCGTGACCTCTACCACCCCCTCGGCTTCATCTTCCACCTCCTCTACTTCCTCTT